AAAAAAAATAATGTTTATGCTTCTTTAGGAATGGCATTATACAGTACTTCCTCAAAGCAAATATAGCTTTGTCTGAAGTTTCCTTGGAAACTCTGCAATGCACTGAAAACATCTGTAATATGATGTTACCAAAGCAGTTTACATATGTCCTTATATGCATATTTTTTATTATATATTTAGTGTTTTATAGAATTTTTTAAAGTTAACATATGATGTAGATATTAATTTTTTCCTCTGCTATAAAACGCTACGGACGACATAATCACGGAAATATTGTTTGGAATTTTTTCCTTTATGATGGAGAGCTCAAAGTTGTTCTTGGTAAATTGGCTGCCAGCTCACTGTACAGTTTTACAAGGCCACTCAAGGCAGGACCCAGACCCAGACCCGGTTTCTAACGCGGCTGAATTTCGTGGCAGTTCCGGTGACTCTCGTGTTCAACCAAGTGCTTCTGACACGCAGGGTGGTGGGTTTGGTTCAGAGGTCAAAGCAAGACAAACTTGAAATACTCAGAATGTCATAATGTTGCAAAAACCCAGGAATTTTGGTTGGTTGTGGACTACAGGACACGCAGCAACCGCTCTGGCACCGTGCAGCGAGGGGCCGTTCCTGCTGCCCTGACACAACTCTGGCTTCATCCCAGTCAGCTTCCAATTGGGAAGGGATGAAGGGACTGCAGAGATGGGATCTCTGCCTCCAGGGACACGAAGGGCCGGACAAACCCAGCCCAGCCCACCTCGGTTTGGGGATTTCATCCCAAGGAAATCAGAGCCCAGCGACTCTGAGACACAAAACTGCTCCGGGCTCGTCGCCTTTGGAACACAACACATCATCCATGGGAATTCTGCCCGTGCATTGGGACACAACTCCTCATCCATCGGAATTCTGCCCATGCATTGGAACACAACACATCATCCATTGGAATTCTGCCTGTCCATTGGAACACAACTCCTCATCCATGGGAATTCTGCCCGTCCATTGGGACACAACACATGATCCATCGGAATTCTGCCCGTGCATCGGGACACAACTCTCATCCATGGGAATTCTGCCTGTGCATTGGAACACAACTCCTCATCCATTGGAATTCCACGATGGACAGCGCTTAGGGAGGTTGCTCTTCTCCCAGGGGAGGTAGGATCTCCCGGAGGTCTCTGTAGGAGGTTTGCCTTTCTCTAGAAACTCTTCACAGACGCCTGCAGGCAACAGAGTCCCGCTGGAAAACTACAATATCCACATGGAATAACTCTTCTTAAGGGAAGGACTGTTTGCTACTACGGGGGAATTTTGTAAGTTCGCTCAGATGGGAAAACGCTGGTCAAAGGCAACGGAATTTTCTATACAATTTTCAAGTTTAAATGCGCTGCAGTGGTATATTTTATTTATTTTTTTTTTCCTGATAGCTTGAATTTGCCTGTAACTTGTCTTTTTTTTTGCTTACAAAATACTACAGTTAACTTTTAGACCTTCTAAATATATTTATTCAGTAACTCATAATCAGGATTCCACTTGTGTAAAAGTCAGGGGTGTTGACCAGAGAAATATTGTCAGTATTTCAAGCTGTGTTCCTTTCTTAGTTTGATATGGTTACTTCTATGTAAAAAAAAATAAAATAAAATAAGAAAAACAAAAAAAAAACACACAAAACAAAGAAAAAAGAAAATTAAAAAAAAAAAAAAAAGCTGCTGTAGTTTTCTCCCCGGTGTAAATGATATTTATCAGTGATCTAGCAGATGTAATCTTTTTTTAAAGGTATTGGTAATAAATATTCTGTCATTTGTAAAGATACCTGTCTTCCAGGAGCCTTTTTCCTCCACGTTTCCTTCTACCCAGTGAGAAATTCCTCCTCAGTGCCTGCTGAGACTGTCACTGATGTGAAGATACAAGAGTTGGTTTAAGTCAAAACTTTGTGGAGGCAGAAAAAAACTAAATCTCTTTATACATCCCTGGTCTAATTCTGCTTCTAAACTGACAAAAAAAAGTCTGTGTGGGTGAGTTTGAGATGATAATGTGTATTTATGTGAAGTCATGGCCTGTCCAAGCTCCTGGGGCTGGTGCTGTTGGAGCATCACTGCCCCAGTGCCCCAAGCAAAGCCCCTCCAGGTACAGCACCAATTCCTGAGGATTTGGGGGAGCACTGCTTGAAATCCCTAAATCCCTCAAACCCACATTTCTAATTCTTTCAAGGGTGGCAGCACAGGAGCCATAGGATGTGCTTGGCTTTTCAAAGGAGCAATATTGCACTTGGCAAGCAAGGAAGCATAAAAGTCAAATGGCCCAGTGAGGCAATTTCATTTTTAAAAAGCAAATTTAAAATGGCCATTTCCAGAGGTGGGCAAGGGGCACATTCCTGGGCTGTGCTCCTGGAGGCAGAGGGAAAGAGCCATGGCAGGAGGAATGAACGGGGCTGGGAGCTGGGATCAGAGAGGAATATTGGAATAAATATTTCTCTGCTGTGGGAGTTTCCCCGTGGTGTGGGCTGGAGTGACAGTGCCAAAATGTGACACACAGCCCTGAGTGTGGCCTCCCTGCATTCCCCACTGCAGGGAGAGCAAACTGCCTGGGATCGTGGAATCAGAGATCCTGTGGGATCATAGAATCACAGAATGGTTTGGGTTGGAAGGGGATCTTGAAGATCACCATGGGCAGGGACACCTTCCACTAGCCCAGGTTGCTCCAACCTGGCCTTGGACACTTCCAGGGATGGGGCAGCCACAGCTTCTCTGGGCAATCTGTGCCAGGGCCTCCCCACCCTCACTGGGAAGAATTCCTTCCCAATATATCTAATGTAAACCTACTCTCAGTAGGTTTACCCCCTTGTCCTGTCACTCCAGGCCCTTGGAAATTGTCTGTCTCCATCTTTCCTTCAGGTCCTGCAAGGCCACAATGAGGTCACCCCAAAGCTTCTCATCCCCAGGCTGAACAGTCCCAACTCTCCCATCCTTTCCTCCCAGCAGAGCTGCTCCAGCCCTCTGACCATCCTGGGGCCTCCAACAGGTCAAAGCCCTTCCTGTGCTGGGACCCCAGAGCTGGATGCACTGGACAAACTCCCTCTTCTCTCGTGCTGCCTGAAATGAAGACTTCACTCCAAGGATAATGAGCATGAGGAGGCAGCTGGGCCAGGAATTGTTGTCCTCACCCTGCATCATTGGCTCTCCAGTCCAGGTGAGGTTCCCCAGTAGGAGTGAACAGGCTGGACCAACAGCCTGGCTGGGAAAATGAAGATACTCCTGCTTTACACCAGCTCGGTTTTATTGACCAGCATGACTTCAAGACTGGCTGCTGGCCCTCCAAGCCATCAAGCCTTGAGTCCTTGAAGAGGGAACTCATCCTCCCTGGAAGTACCAAGGACCTGACACGCAAAATATATTTAAATACGTTGCATTAATCTCTGCAATATCATTAATGGGAATGAAATTATACGTAGAAATCTTCTTTATTAGGCCACTTGAAGGCATGACATAATGACATACACTTCAATAAATGAATTCTTCTCTTTAGTCTCATTTTTAGGATTTCGCTAATGAAATTCTGATTTTAGATTGTTAAATTTGGGTACCTCCATTAAAAGCACGTTTGAGGCACAAACATTGTTATATTAATGAGCTACATTAATTTTGATGGAGCCATGCTATTTTACCCAGATGACAACTGGCTCATTTATTATAATTATTTTTAGTCTGTGGTACCTGGGAACTCCATTTCTTTAGGCACATTCCAAAAAATTGCTGAATTAAGTAATTATTTTTATTCTTTGTTAACGTGCTTAAACTTATCTCAGGCCAGCTCAGTGGAGAGGAGGTTTCTTGGAAGAAGAAGGGACTCTGCAGGACCAGGAGAACTTCATGATGTGCAGCCAAGGAGGTCAAAGCCCGAGGTTTAAGGCAGGAGGTTTATTTGGTAACTCCCTCAGTGGATTACACAAGGTAGGTAGATAAATCCCAAACAGAAACCCAGGCTGTCTCGAACCCAGCTCATCTGAGATGGAACAACAGACAGAAAGGAAAAAGAGGTTGCAGTGTTGGGCTTGGATTTTCAGAATTGCTGAAGTTGCCCACCAAGGAGGGGCCCAGCTCATGGCAGCTCAGACTCTCCAGAGCACCAAGGAGTCCTTGGCACGTTTCTGGAATGAGTGTTGAAAACTGCATTCCCAAGTTGTGCCTGTGTTTTAGGTGCAGTTGAGGGAATTTATCTGTTTGTGCCATTTTCCTCTCTTTTTTTTCTTTCCTCCCTGCCCCTGGAGCTTTAATCCCTTGTGCCAGGGATCCCAAACAATCCCTCTTGTCCTTTTGCAGATGCTCCCAGTGATGTCAGAGGCCAGAGTCTGAGCCCCCTGTGATCTCCTGAGCCTGTCCAGTCCTGATGTCCCTGGGGAGCAGCCACTGGGCAGGGAAGTGTTCCTTCAGAGCCTCCCCATCCCAACAGTATTCCCTCATCCTTTCTGGTAAGAAAACCAGGGGAAGCTCTTGTTTTATACTGAAATGTGCTACCTGAGTGTAGAGAAATGGCAGACAAGGTGTCAGCTTTGCACACAACAGTAACCAAACTCTAACCATGCATCAGGTAGACAATCAAACTAACCTTGTCCTAAATAGTCTATAAAATTCAGAGGGTTTGAGGTTTATAAAGTCCTGCAGATGAGAGAGATGTTTCCCCCCATCCAAAATTGGTGCTGTGGTTACTTGAAAAGCAGGATGCGGGTACCTCTGAGCAGTGCAGGGGACACTGGATGTCATCCGTGGCCTGGCCACCCCACAGCCAGTCCCCACAGAGGAGTGGCCTGGCTGCACCCTCAGGGCTCACCCAGAGCACAGCCAGCCCTGCCTTTAGCAAGGAATTGCATTTCCATGGAGGTTTTCCAGACTGAAATTCAGACTGTTTATTACAAAGTGTATCAGTGAGGCCAAACGCGGATCCCGCTCTCATGCTGGACTTGCTACAGCACCAGGGATGAGAGCACTGGGAGGCTTCACAGCTTCTTTAATTCTTTTCCTAATGTTTGACCCACCTTGGTCTCCACCAGGACCATGGCTGGGTGCCTTGCTGCCACTCCCAGGGCCGTGCCAAGTCCCAGTTTGCATTTTGCACCTCAAGTTGTCAAAGTTAGTTAAAACAAATATCCAAAAGATTAAACTGCCAGCCAGAAAAAAAAAGCCATTAGCTCTTTTCCAGACTTTTTTCCCTACACAGCCCTTGGGCTGTGTGCTTATATCCTCTTTCAGCTGGGACTTTGTGTTCAGCAGCTCATGGAAGCAAGGGGAAGCAAGTCCTCCTTCCTGTTGGGAATGTGGACACACGGAGGTGACACGGAGCAGCCTCTCAGAAGACAGAGTCATCCAGGGCTCTGCAGTAAAGATCTTCAGCCAAGCTGCTGAACTCGGTCTCTGTGTCGCTGGTGCAGGTCCGGGCCCTCTGGAAAGCAAACCCCTGGTGAGCTGGGAGCTGGGGCTGCTTGGGGCTGGGGCAGAGGTCATGAAAAACATCCTGCTTCAAGCTGGTGCATTTAAAGAGGGATTCACACCAAGTGTTTTGTTTTGTGAGGTCAGAGCTGAGAAGGAGCACTGGGCTCAACAGGAGAGTTTTCACGCTCCTGCTGAAGTTCTCTCGGGGTTGCTCATCACTCTGTCCCTCAGGCCAGCAGCCCCCTGCACCCACAGATTCCCATTTGGGCATGTTTTACACACCCCTGCACCCACAGATTCCCCATGTTTTACACAACCCCATTGGCCACAGCAGCCACCAGACACCCCTCTGTAGTCAGGGACAAAGAGCCCCAGGAGGAGCTGAAGGGCACAGAATCACACAATCACCAAGGCTGGAAAAGACCTCCAAGATCATCCAGTCCAACCTTTGGCTGACACCACCATTCCCACTGAATCCTATCGTGAAGTGCCACCTCCACTCGGGTTTTGAACTCTTCCAGGGATAGTGACTCCACCACTTCCCTGGGCAGCCCTTCCAGTGCCTGACCACCCTTTCAGGAGCAGGGTCTGAGGTGTGAAGTTTGGTCTGAATTCTTCTGAATACACAGCAGCAAAGCCCAGTGTTGGGGCCATGACCCAACCCCTCAGCACTGAGCAGAGTTGCCCAAGTGCAGGGCTGGGGTGACCTGCAGAAGGAAGCAGAAGCTGAGCAGTAGCTTTGCTGCTGGGAAGCCCTCAAGGGCAGCAGAGCAGCTCCCTGGGGGACAAGCAGGTTCCCACGGGCCACGTGGCCACCACGCTGCAGGGCTTTCATCACCTCACCCTCTTGTTTACGCTGCAAATTTAGGAACTGAACGTCCACAACAAACAGCTCTGAGGGTTTCACTCTCCCTGGTGACCTCAGCATAGACCAGGGTCACGTCCTCACCTCTCCTTGCTGGTGCCACTGCCCTTGTGGCCATGGCACCAGCTGAAAGCCTCTGGCTGGTATCACCTGCCCACACCCAGCTCCCTTTCAGTAAAGAGACAATTAAATATACAGTGATGATGATGATGATGTGAAACAGCCTTTGCAAACTCCCATTTTCCAGCTGCAGCGTTAATATTTGCTATTTCTCATCTTCTTATTTGTGATGCCCCAAGTCATGTTATTTTACACCCGTGGTTTAATTAAAAACAAACATTATGAGATAATCTTTTAAGCCCGTTTCCTTGACCAGATCATGGTGTAAGAACCATATCCAAAAAATCAAACCCCTTTTCTAAGGGGACAAATGAAAATCAAGTTACTGAGCTGCACTTCCCACGAGCAGACAATGAAGGGTTTTATCTTATCTGTAAGGCAAATGTATTTATCAGAAGTAACAGAGAATGTAATAAGGCTTAAGTCCAGCTTAACAGTGGGAGCAAAACGTTTCAGATTGCTAGGTTTAACAAAATAAATCAGCTCTCCAGGAGTCACCCTCCAGTCCCTGCATTTCCCTACAAAAGGCAGAGCCAGAGGTATGGAACATGTGCCTGAAATTCGCTGCATATTAGCAAAGCATTTCGTCCTTTTGTTCGTTTTTAACCCTTCCCAAAACACAACATCTACAAACAAGGCCAGATCCAGGACTTGGACCTGTCCCTGGCAGAGGAGGTGGCCACACAGTCAGGTCAGAACCCACCTCAGCAGTTAGGATTGCAAAAAGAGCCTCAGGAATTACTGAATTCTGTGGATAACCACGTTATTCTCATGGCAGAGGACATAAGCCTTGTTCCATTAACTGCACCCATGAATTTCCCCCTTGGCATGTTTTGCCCGACACACTCGACCACAGAGCCCACATTTACTATGGACGTTAGAAATTCCAAGAGGTCAAAAGGCTTTAAGTGGACAGGAAGAAGCTCCATGGTTTAGTAGTGTCAGGTCAAAGGCTGCACTTGATGATCCTGGAGGTCTTTTCCAACCTTAATGATTCTGTGATTCTCTTTGCTCCCAGCCTTGGAGGGAAAGAGCAGCACACAGACACAAGCATTCCTTCTAGTTAAAAAAAAAAAGAAAAAGTGACTAAAATGTTTTTTTACCTCGTAGTCGACTGGGAAGGGATCTGGGAATTTGTTGCTGGGTGTTGGGATTGGTGGAAACAGTTTGCTCCAGACACGGTTTCTGCAAAAAACAGCAGTGGAGGGATGTGAAAGAGCTGCTTTCTCTGATGGATGATGTATCCAACAAGCAGAACATGTTTAGCCCCAGGAGAAGACATGTCTCCTCACCCAGCAGCCTTCCTGCCCCCCTCCCATTCCATCACTGCCATCTGACAGCAGCAGGTTCAGAAGGGGTCACAGTCGTGGATAATGGTCCATCAGTGGACACCCTGGGGAGCAGGCAGGTGTGTTGTTCCTCATTTCTGGGCCCTGGGGACATGTGGGTGACAAGGAGGAGATGGGCTGATGCTCTCCCCCATCAGCCTCTCCCATCACAGCTGTGGCTGGTCCAATCCAAGGGGGCATTCCCGGGGCTTTTAGCGACAACAGGCTTGTCTGGGAGAGAAATTAATTGCTCTGATCTGTCTGTTCATGTTCCTCCCAAGGGCTGTGTTGTCATGTACCTTGTTTGGACAGTCAAGACAAGCTGCCTCTTGCTCAGACTTTGGTTTCTGGACATAAACTGCCTGTGTCTCGTGGCAGGAGAGCAACTACAAATAATTGTGTGCCGAGGGAAGGAGGAGGAGGCAGGAAAGGCCCCAGAGGTGGCTGGCAGTAAATGGTTCTGCTGAGTGGTGTAATAACTCATCCTACTAACACCCTCTGAGATCCCCTTCCCTGCCTGGCACTCCCCAGCCTGGCCCAGCACACAGACACTGGTATTTCTGGGATAGCAGGTGCTACAGGGGAACTTCTCCTTGTCTTTGAAACATCCCAGAGTACACATTTCAACCACCACAAAAGCACATTCACTGCCTCCACCCCTGCATAGCACCGTGTCCAAACAGGGCCAGATTCGAATGGGAACTCAGCCTGAGTGAAGACTACAGGATTCAGCCCAGGATTAACATCCAGGGTCTGTTCTGTGGGACATCCTGATATCCATGAAGCAGAGATGTGGAGCTGATGGGACCAAGGGCAGATCTGCTCCTCTGCCCCGTTTATTTTGTGACAACTCTCCTGGTTGATGTCTGGTTGGTTCACTGCTTGTGTTCTCAGGGCCATTCTTCCAAAAGCTTCCTGAGTTCCCAGAAGTGGGAATATGGGGAGGAAAAGTAGGTGTGAGGTGTTTTTTGGGAGGCATTGTTGAAATGCTGAACACAGGGGGCCACTTTTGGGTGCAGAGGACAAGCCAGGCTGTTTGGTCACCACCAGTGGAGTGGCACAGTGAGGTGGCTGCTGGTGTAACTCAGGAGTGGGGCAGGATGAGTGCCAATATTATTATTCCAGCACCTGGCATCATCTCCATTCTTCCCAAAATTCCTCCTCAGGGTCAGATCTTGTGCCCACAGCCGGGTCAGCTTTGCAAGCACTGTTGTGTTCACAGCCCCTACACTTGATCAGCTCCCCCAAACTTTCCAGAAGGGCTGGAGGCCCATTTCAGTGCATCTCATTCCAGCCCTGATTTCTGCCATTGCTGTGCAATGTACCCAACAAGGTTTGGTTTCATCTGGGGTTGGCGCATTCCCAGCTGTGCTGTTTGTCAATAAAAGATTTTGATGGAGCCATACCAAAATTATTTATTGAGTCAGCAGAAAGCATAAGTTACATGTCACTTCTGGAATAGAAAAGTTTAAGGAGGGGTGACAAACACCCAAAAGAAGTGAGGCAGAAGCACATTTGTGTCCAGGGGGGGCCGTCAGGTGCAAGAGACTTTGCAGTGAGGCCTTGGTGGGCTGGTGACAGTGGTGCCCTCACAGTGGTCCTGGTCTTTTTTGCAGGTTACTGAAAAGGTGGAGTTATGTGATTAAATATCTTGCCACAAAACATGTCCCAGGTCTCAACAGAAGTGAGAGCAGGGCCCTTTCCATCAGCAATACTGGGACCTCCAGGCTTTGGACACACCCCACGGGACCCTTGTGCCTTAAGTCAGCATTTCAGAGCCTCCAGTTACTGTGTCTGTCTCTCTGAAATTTGCCACTTTTCCCAAAGGCCAAAGATAAGCAAAGAGGAATAAGTAAGAGTTCAAGTTCTTCTTTTCCCTCTTCTAACTGCCACAATGACATTGATGAAAATATTTGTTTTCACTGTATGTCTGAGTGCCTGTTGTAATGTTCTGCCTCTCCTGGGATTCCCTGTGGCATTTTTCCAAATGTGACTGGTGTCTGCTGGTGGTGGACTGGTGTGAGGTGCAGAAGAGGGAGGGATGACCACACTGATTTCGGGGTGTGGAGGGTGCTCCCTGTCCTCATGGCACCCACGTGGAGTTATCACCTACCCCCTCCAGGAGCAAACATTATTCCAAGGCCCAGCCTAGGGAAGCACAGAAGGTGCAAACTAGGAAAACATCCAACTGTGCTTTTTATCAAGACAGGAGCTCCACCAGCTACTGCAGATGAGCAAAGGTAAAAGCCAATCAAGCAGTCCCAGAGGGCTGCTCTGCCTTGCAGCACTGCTCCCAAACCGTGGGCTTTGTCTCTGAGGCCTGGCAGTGCACAGAAAAATTTATAGGACTCTTTGCTGTAATGGAATTCCTTATAACAGCTTCAAATCACAGGAAATTTGAACTGGTTCCGTGGCTGGAATTGCACGGGACACTTCATGAATTTTCAGGAGCAGTAAAAACTGACAGCACTAATGAAACCATGATCTAGGGAGCCTCCTCTATTTTTCTTTTTTTAATATCTGCAGATACAACAATGAGCAGGATACACACGGTGTTTCATCTTCTGGCTCTTCCCACCTCCTCCCAGGGCAGGCTGGGGGATTAGAGAAGGAGAAAGGGTGGAATAAAGCCAGCAGCTCCATGAAACTCAGTGCAGCAGGCAGGGAACATTTTAATCATGTTGTCAAAGGTGGAATGCAATGAGCTTTTGGGTGCTAGGGAATTATAGACTTGAAACTCCTGGAAGCAACCAAGCAGCTGACACTGGAAAAGCTTAAATTTGCCTAATGGATTAAAATCATAAAATAAATTAGTGCAGCTTCTCCAAGTTGGTCCTTAAGTCTTCCCCTGTACCTGTTTCTCCCCTGTATCTGCTCCAGGATCTGCAAAGGGGGTAACTATAATAACTATAATACCCAAATACTTGCAGAACTTGCAGAAGATGGAGCAGTGTGACTGCTGCTGACTGGGGCTGCTGTTCTGCTGTCCCAAACTGAGAGGAGAGAGCTGAAGATGATGGTGCTGGGGCAGTGGAGGACCTCGAGCTACAGGTCAATCCAGACAAAAATGTAAGTAAAAGCAGTTTGGGGGTTTTCACCAATACATCAAGGCTACATGGTGGGGACAAGTGTGTGTGACACAGAACAAGGATAGACTCTCTGGAGAGTGAAATCTGTCTTGTTCTCAGAAAGATTGCTTGCTGAGCCCTGGCTGCTAATTAACTTTCCCTAAGAACAGGTTACACAGACACCAGACACTTGAGGGAGAGGCAATAACAGTGATTCTCCTGTAACATTCCTTTTATTTGATAAAGGAAATGTGGTATTGAAAGGAAAATAGTCAAGGACACGTCAGGATGACCAATAAATTAAAAGGCACTAAAGAAATGAGTAAGAAATTAGCAGAGTTGAGGAGAGCACTTCCATTACTGGGAGCTGGGTTTATTGTGGACTGATAATTGCTGCTTGCTGCATGTTTCAGGGGAGAAGCTTCTAATTACATCAATTCCTTAATTCATCACTTATGATTTGACTTGTCACAGCAACAGGAATCCAAAGTGTACCTGGGCTTCTTCACAGCACAGTTTGGGGAGTTTGGTTATGTGGCCTCTGGCTTTGCTACATGGCATCCAGAGCCTCTGTGTAATTAAAAATAAACTAAATAAATAGCTCAAATACTCAAAGCAAACAACAGTGCTCTGTACATTTTGGCCATGAAAGATGCTCCCAGCAGCTTTCACCAGGGATTAACACAGAGTCCTCCCAGGGAAATCACTGACCCAACCAGGCATTTAAGGGAAGAAATGAGATAAGGACAAATGGATTTTTCATAAGTCCACCTCACTCAGTATATGGGTTTGTTGTTTAGGATTAAATTGAATAACCCTCTTACCCCACCAATGCTGAATGTTATTATTGATATTAACTTAATGAGGCTGATTATTACTCATTCAGTATTTTTGCTTTGTATAATTGTGCCTGAATACCAAACTCAGTGCCCTTTCTTATAAATAAGCAAAACTTGTAGCATCCCCCCACACTTGTTGAACACCTGGTCCTTAGTTACACTGTAATTAAAAAGAAGATGAGGGTACTTACATTTTGCATATTAAAGCAACAAGCAGGAATGTGCAGGACGTGGACACACAAAGCACAGCCAGAATCCAGGCTACAGAGTTCTCCAGTTTGTTTTGCCCTGAATTTCAAGGAAGAAAAAGAAATGAAAGGTATTATTTTCGTGCAGATTATTTTAAGCACATTCTTCTGAAATATTTCATCAGCTGTTTCATGTGATTGTGTTCAGGTCACAAATTAATATGCAAATGATGAAGACCCGGTATGTAAAATAAAAAATGCTACACCAGAGCTTCAAGAAGAGTTTCCATGAAGTGACTTTCAACACTGAATTTCTGTTATTTTGACATGAAGGAGAGAACAATCCAAGAAGGATGAGGGGCCAGGCCCACCAGGGTGGGGTCCATCAGCTGCCATCCTGAGACACACAGTGCCCCAACTGGGACTCAGCAAAGACTCTGCTGGCTGATAAACTCGGGCACAAACTGTTTGTTTTCCATCAAACCATTCTTCATTTCTGCTAATCCTTTCTAGCCAGGAACTGGATTTCTCTGGCTCCCTAAATTTACCTGTGAAAAAGACACTGAACTCCCCCAATTTTCAGCTGGTTGCTGACACGTTTCCTCTACAGGAACCTGTATTGTGTCAATGAACTACAAGCCTCTAAAAACCCTTTTTTTTGTAACAAAAAATGGAGTGGGTGACCTTGGATATTGTTGAGATTTCAGTAAGTTTTTATGGAAGACTAACTTTTTTTTAGCATCAGAACGGATTTTCCGTGTTTGCTACGTGAGCCAGGTGGGAACTTCAAAGGGGGGGGTGTCAGAGAAAGGAGGCAAAACAGCTGCAGATTTGCACTCACTAGAAAACAGATCTGAGGAGGAAAAGTGTAGTAAACAGGAGAGTGTAAGAGGCTTTTTCTAAGTGGAAACAAGGAAGTGAAGAAACTCAAGATAAGAGCAAAGGAGGATGTCTAAGAACAAACAGTTGATAACGTGCCGTGATAAAGAAACTGTTGTTGCCAGAACAAGTTCTTCAGCAAGAGGGAAATGCAGAACAAAGTGGGGCAGATGAGCATGTTCCAAAGATGCTCTTTTTTCCTCAAAGAATTCAAGAATTCAGAGAGCTCCAGTAAATAATAGTTGACGTGATGGCTCACAAACATCATGATGCATGGCAAAGAAACACAGGTAAAAACTAAAGAAGTTACTCAGTTAAAAAGCAAGTTTAAAGCAGCCTGTGAAAACATGCACAGGTAAAAGCAAAGTACTGTACACAAAAAACCTCCCTATTTCCAAAAGTTTTTTTGGAAGTAGTTTTTTTTTAATGGAACAAGGATTTAAATCCCCTGAGCATTAACAAGTCGGTTTTTTCCACCCAATACCCATTTTCCTGCTTTCTGTTAAAATTCCCTGGTGTAACTCATGGTCAGGCTTCCCAGCAGTGTAATAACAGTCATTTCAAGTGTGTCATTCTTACCAACATAAATGACTTCACTCCAGTCACTCCAAACTCCTCTCATACACCACGTGTGATGATTGGCTCTGATCTGGATGGAATATCTGCTGGTGACATCAATCCTCAAGCGGAATTTGTTTGAGGATAATTTCAATATCTGATAGGAAAACAACATTGTGCCATTATAGATCCCTAAACAATTCCAAAAATTGATCACTTTTATTTTTTTGGCTTTTAAAACTGCTCCACTAGATTAACTCTGAGCTTCTGGCCTTGCTTTCGAGGTAAAATCTCTATTTTTATAGGTGTAACTTCTCTCACAACACACCAATATTTCAGGGGAAATTCTTGGAAGATGCCTCATTTTTACATTCTTCCTCAAGACACTTTAGCAAGATTTTCAGGATGGTAAAAACTGTTCTGGACCCAGAGGCATAAAACTGAATAACTCCAGTTTTGTCCTCCTGCTTTCCCAAGTCTCTTGGGGGTACTTTGTTGCAGACATAAAAGAGGAAAAATATAAAACCTGGTGAGACTTTGTTGTGTTTCCCATCACAAATGGGAACCAGTTTCACCAGAAGTCCATAGTTTCAAAAATGTAATAATTGCAGGTTTTACTTTTAAAGGTTTAAAATTTGTAACTGATCCATGAATTTGAAGACATTTTCACCCTAAAGGCAAATTTCAGCTGCACAGGGCAGGAATGCTGGATAATACTGGAATGGCAGAGGAGCAATTACCTGCTGGTTACCTGACTTCAGGTTGACGAGGTAAAATTCATATTCAAAACATTCCTCGTGGAAAAGAGAAATTGGCTTCTCCCAAGTGGCCAGGAGCTCGTTTTCCTCCAAGGATACAGTGATATTTCTGGGAACATTCACTTTCTCTACAAAAGAAAACTCTCCTGGTAAGTTATTTATAGAGCAAAGTTTAAATACTGACAGCTGGAGCATTTTATAAACTGATGGTGTTTTCAAGTAGCACCTATAATTCTTGAATTTATTTCACCTTTTGGGCAGAAAAGATAAGGATTTAGGTGGAGTCAGTACTTTGCAGAAAATACTTATGGGAAAACAGTTTGGAAAGTCCACTTAAAAGTTTTGGACAACTAGATTATGGGGAGAGGAGGGAATTTATTAAATTAATTCTCACAAAAGCATTAAATTAATGATAGAAGTGTTAGAAAAACTTCTTTTCAGAAAAAAAAGCAAACAGGTGTAGCCAGGAAAGTTACTGAAAAGTGGAATAAATTCCAAGGAATGGATCAGCAGCTATTATGGGGATGATTTCTAAGAAAAAAATATGTGAATTTTTCTCTTAGTTAAGGCAAGAAAAAGGGAAATATTGTCTGTTCACGAAAATAAAAAAAAGGGCAAAAAAGGGAAATATTGTCTGTTCACAAAAAAAAAGGGCATTGAACTAATGAAGGAAAATAAATTATTTGGGTAGATGGAAGATGATGGGCAGTCATGGCTGAGACTGTCCTTTATTTGACAGTATAATGCCTTTCTTTAAAAGAACATGGTTATCTTGAGCATTATGTTCTTTTTCCATTAAAGAAAGGCTGCAAAATAAAGGGTAGTAAAAACTGTATTTTAAGGTATATTGACCTCATCAATTGCGAATTAATATTGGAAATACTGCTTTTGCTAAAAAAACAGCATAACTGTCTTTTCTAGCTTTAAATTTTGTCCTTCTATAATTTAAAATAAATCATTCAAATCAAATTTAGTTAAAACAATCCAGTTCTGTCTTATAATCTCTTCCAATTTCATTAAGATGTCTGTACAAAACCAGCAGTTCACCTTCATCAAGAATAATTGAATCCAGCAGTATTTTCTCACAAATCTTTTGATAATCCTGGTAGACACTTTTAATATATATTTTTAAAATGTGTTAAACTCACCAATGGCATTTGGGTTAAATAACTGCTGAAAAGGCTTGATTGCAGCATGTTTACTGGACCCATTAATGTGGATTACGAGATCATCAACCTCCTGGGGATCAATGTGAGTCCCTGGAAAGCTGCAGCCAGAATTCCTGTCCCACTTGTCTTTGGCATAACGGTGACATTCCTCAGTGTAGTTCTTGTACCTAAATTCAAACACCTGTGAGACGTGATGCAGAGAGGGACCTGGGAGTTTGGATTGACAGGAAGCTGAACATGAGCCAGAGTGTGCCCAGGTGGCCAAGAAGGCCAATGGATCCTGGCCTGGCTCAGGAACAGTGTGGCCAACAGGTCCAAGGAAGTGATTCTTCCCCTGGACTCAGCGCTGGTGAGGCCACCCCTGCAGTGCTGTGTCCAGTTCTGGGCCCTCAGTTCAGGAAGGACATTGAGGTCCTGGAGCAGGTCCAGAGAAGAGCAACGAGGCTGGGGAAGGGACTGGAGCACAAGTCCTATGAGGAGAGGCTGAGGGAGCTGGGGCTGTTCAGCCTGGAGAAGAGGAGGCTCAGGGGAGACCTTCTCACTCTCTACAACTCCCTGACAGGAGGGGGGAGCCGGGGGGGGTTGGTCTCTTTTCCCAGGCAACTCTCAACAAGACAAGAGGGCTCGGGGTCTTCAGCTGTGCCAGGGGAGGTTTAAGTTGGATATCAGGAAGAATTTCTTTGCAGAGAGGGTGCTCAGCCATTGGAATGGGCTGCCCAGGGAAGGGGTGGATTCTCCATCCCTGGAGGTTTTTAAGGTGAGACTGGATGTGGCATCAGTGCCATGGGCTGGGAACCACAGCGGGGTTGGATCAAGGGTTGGACTTGATGATCTCGGAGGTCCCTTCCAACCCAGCTGATTCTATGATTCTATGATTCTATGATTCTATGCTCTTAAAGAAATCCCTTGCTGAGTGAAAAGGGGGGAAAGAAACACCAACCTGTAAAACAGAAAGTACTCGGTATCTTGTGGTGCCCCTGGGCCAGGAAGCCACGAGCAGTGCAGAGAGACAGCCCCCAAAACAGTGAGGTGAGTGACACAGGACAGATTGGTGATGGATGTCTCCGGAGCACCTGGAGAGTCAAGGAATTACAGAGCAGAAGGAAAATCTTATTGCGAAAATCAGAAGAAATTCATGCTGCTAAAACACTCTGATTCCAGTCTTTGGTCCATTATATCTGTTTCTGTTGTTCCAGTTCTCTTCCATGTCACTCCTGGTTATGGATGGATGGAGATTCCCAAACCGTGCAAGTAAAGCTGTGCCACACAGCACCATTATAAATGTAATGTGTAATAAGGCAACAATATCCTAGAGTGCACCACAGGAGGTGATCTCAGCCTTAGCAAGGAATTTTTAGAATATTTTATGTGTGTTATCCATTTTCTGCACCTCCAGATTGTCCTGGAGATTAGGATAGAAAGGCCTGGACTAAGCCCTTTGGTAAGATCAGCGCAGCAGGTAGGGGGCAAAACGTTGCGTTTTTTGAAGTATTAAACCTTTCACCATTTGATGTCTGGGGCAGAACACAAAATGCAGACCTTGCCTGGGTTTCTCCTTACCTGGCAGAGGTGGGAGGTTTTCCTGCACCCACTCACTTCTCATCTCAAGGTCGTTGTGGAGAAGCAACGTCCGGACGCGTGCGGAGAAGCCGTCGTGGAGCGCGACCGTTCGGACACTGTGGGTCTTCCTGGTGTCATACTGGGAATAAAAAGTATCAAATGAGCATCCCATGGGATGGAAGCTGAAATAAGGCACCTGCAAAGACTGAGCCAGACATTAAATTGACCTGAACTTGGAGCCTGTACTTAAAACTGGTATCATCCCCCTCAAGGTGAACCCTGCAGGGAAAGCCAATTCCCAGGCTCGTCCCAGCAGAGCTGTGTCTGTAAGGAAAGCTCAAAGGGAATCTCTCCAGTACTCAAAGTTTAGGTGTAAGAGAATAACAGGAATTTAGCCTTCTCAGGATACTTGTTTTATTTCTCTTACCTCTTCAGGCACAGGGCTGAGGATTTTCACATCATATCTAATGGTGTCGTTTTTTTGGTCTTGGGCAGGGTTTGGTTCCCAGTGTAACAGGACTTGTGCTAATGCACAGACTGTGAGGGTGAAGTTAACAGGTGGGAAAACCTGAACTGGAAGGGAGAAAACAAAAATATTCGTGGCATACTAATCCAGTGAATTGTTTAGAGTGATACCTGTTTGCAAGCAGTGAGCAAGACAAGCAAATAATTTCATTTCCATTTAATATTCTCTCAACAGCTTCTTATAAAATGTTTTTAATATTTGAAAAATATCTTTAAATAACCAAAACCTCATCAAATAAGAGTTTACTTAAAACTTAGCTTTAAAAATGGATGTTTACAACAGTTTCAACTTGAAAATTAGTATGATATGTTACATTTGGCTTGTTAATTAGGTTCAGGTTTTTCATCCTGGTCCTCATGGCCACACAGACATATAGAAACAGGGCTGATGGAAGGTACAAACAATTCTCACCCACAGAAGCTTCCAGAGGAGCATAACATGGGGGGCTTTCTAAAAGGAGGTTGACAGCCACAAGAGTAGAACCAAAATGATGAACAGAGGAATTAAGCACAAATGGAAGAAAACATAGAAGGATGAGGATGATAATTTAGAATGACAGGGCAAGAGGGATTCCTGGAGCTCCATGGAAATTAAGAGGGTCTCCTGCTGGGGGAAATGTTAGCATAGAAATAGCAAGGCAGGGAAATAATCAATCTGCTCCCCTCCAATTCTCCAGAGCCTGCCCTCCCTTATTTGCCATTTCCAAGGCAGTTGAGGGCCATCAGCATCCCTGGAAGTGTTCAGGGCCAGGCTGGATATGGCTCTGAACACTCTGGTCCAGTGGAAGGTGTCCCTGCCCATGGCAAGGGGGTGGAAGGAGGAGAGATTTAAGATCCCTTCCAAGACAAACCACTCTGGGATTCCATGATCAGCCCCCACTTCTCTTCTCCCATAATTTCAACCTTTGACAACCATGAATTCAGTGTTCAACACACACCTTCCATCAGGAAAACTGCCCCATAAAGGCTCAGAAAACCAACACAAACCATCCTGAAGTGCCCAGCCCAGAGGACAGTGGCACAAGGAGCATCTCCACAGTTCTTCCCTCTCAAAGCAAAACAGTCCTCAGGCAGTGGCTGGGAGCAATGTGGGATAGGATACAACTGTCCCAGAAAGCATGTTATCCATGATCCAGTACCATGGACTCTGTAGAACAGTGACCAACACACAGAGGGCATTTGGACACCCTGTGGTGCTAAAGCTACACGTTGGCAGAAGGAAAACACCTCACCTCGTGCAGCTTGGGGTGTGTTGAGCTGAACTGAGTGGGTTGTCCAAAGGAGGATCAGACAAACTTGCATCCTGCTGGCCTTCATCTCTGGATGGTGAAGGAGCACGGCCAGGCATCAGCAGAGGGGCCTTGGCACCATCTTATAGAGCCTGGGAGCAAAAAGTGAACACGATCCTAAGGGTCAAACACTCAAAAAATATCCACACGATCAAAAGAATGAAACTGCAGGGACAGAGCCCTCTTTCCTTGCAGGAAAATGCTTCTTGTAAGAGCTGAATTTAATGTAAGTACCACCAACACGTTTCATTTTGCTCCCTTTGCCTCTCCCAGCCCTCTCTGAAAGAGCTGCTGGTTTCAAACCCTGTCGTGTGGGGATGTTCAGAGCAGTCACGGAATTAGAGCATTTCTCCACGGAGAGGAGTGTGTTGGGTTCAGGTAGATTGGCTTTCAGCAGAGTCCCATTTCCTCCAAGAACAGAAATAACCATATTTTTAGCTGCCACTAGATATAAAATAGCTCCTTGCTGGAATTTACTTTCTAGCTGCTATTTCAGTAAAGCTCTCTAAAGACGCAGTCAGTGCTCACCTCAAGGCTAATTCTTCAGTGTTAATTATTGGGTGTAGGAGAAACTGTTTTGTTTGTTTCTCATTTAAATGAACAACTCTTTTTAATGCTTAAAACCAGCACGTTCTTATGCTTCCTATGGATTGTTTCATGAATTACTGGGAGGAAAAAAAAAATCTGTGTGTAATCACTCATGTGTAACCCAAGATAAATATGGACATACAGAACAGCAGCTTTCCAAAATGTTCCTCCTGAAGAGAAATACGCCCTCCTGGCCCAATCTCACTCCTTCCCTGGGGCACTACAGCAATTGCTTGTATGGAAAACATAATATTTTCCAATGGTAATGAGCAGAGAAAGCATCTTTAGCCCATCAGTTCTCCCTGAACCTCCAATGAATCACCCGGGGACTGAGTTATGACCCGATTGATCACAGTTGGAGCAATTCTGCTTTACAGTAACTATTTTTCAAAGTGGTGCACGAGTGCAGAGTTCATTAAAGTGCCACATAATCCACAGTACAGTGTGTTTCTTAATGTCCAAGTCTCCTCATTATCTATATTCACATTTTGTGTCTGTCTGCTTTTCTCCAAGCCCAAATGTGCACGAGCCCAGCTGAACCCCTGGAGTTTGCTAATGGATATTCCAGGGGAGCCAGGCTTGGATTTTGTGTACACTGGCTGATTGGAAGACATTTTGGTCCTTCCACAATGTAGTGACTCACAGATAATGGGATAAATGTTCCTTACCACACACATTGTGCCTGCACAATGCCTCAAGGACTATTTCCTAGGCATTACCATTCCTGAAAAATCTGCTCCTTTGGCTTTTTTCACTTGCACGACATGATTATGTTCTTCTGGAGGGCATTACGTGGACTGGACACAGGTTTACAAAGGCACCTGATCTCTGCCACTCCTGTTCTGCTTTCCTGAAAAAAAACTCACTGAAAAAATGGATAGAACATGACACAGATTTCCAACACGCTTTTGAACAAATTACTGGCACCAGACTTTCTTTGCTGCTTCAAGAAACCTTAAGATTTATTCAAAAAATATTTAAAAATATATTTAAATTATTTTTAAAATGAAATCTTTAAAAAGCTTCATGTTTTACAGCTGCTTAGGCTTCACATCTACTGACTTGACTAATGTCAGTGCATTGGTTTCAGGCATTTAGCACTACTAGAAAAGCTGGCTGTCCCTTGGGTTTATTTAAAAGGGGGTTTGGCTGCCTAGAGGTTTTTTTTTAAACTTTGTTTTCAAAAAAGTAAGGGCTTTGATTCTTCCTGGGCACATTCTTTTCCCCATACTTTTGAAAAGATCCTGAAGATCAGCTTTTCAAAGGTGTTTTTGCTGCCTTAAAGCTTGCACGTATTAGACACAGATCTTGGATTTTCTGAGCAGCACATTACTATTTAAAACTAGATATAAAATATTCCTGCAATGCAGATTAGTCTTTACTTACAATCCTGTTCTTTTCAGTTTATCTTATCCTGTTTTGTTTGTAAAAACACTATTTTTTTTTTTAGTGTTGTCAAACTAAGACTTAAAACATAGCTTTTGGAAGAGGTATTCCTGCAGCTGTGTAAGTCTACAACCTCTAAGAACACACTGCAGTCTGTGATACCCACCCTGTTTCATGTGAGAAATTGCTGAAAAGATAAAAAAAATAAGCATATACAAATAAAAATGGCGACTGGAAGTCTACAAGAGGATTACACTCCTCACAAAAAATGGATGTAGTAAGTTTTCAGGACAAATAGAAGTCTTGATTATGTTTTGGTTATATATGGTAAAAAGTAATAAGCAGAAGGTAAAGGATATATTCTTTTTGTAGAGGCAATATACTCCTTTTAAAAGGACAGTAGAAATCCAAGCCATACAAAACAGCCTCTAGAAGGGAATGACTTTCTCCCTTACAGCTGCTGTGTCCCACTGTCTCACAAGCAATGGGGCAGAAGCAGATTGCAGATGCTTTTCCCAGTGTAAACAGAGTGAAAAGCAGCCCCTCTGCAGCCTCCAAAGCAAGCACAACAGGACAAACTCAAACCACAACAGACACCCCAGGGGTTACCTGTGGACTCTCACAAGTCCTGTGAAGAGTCTGCTCCGTTTGTTCAGCCTCCTCTGGGTCATCTCCCCGTGGGTTTCTTTTATAACTGCTGCCTTTCAAGTGCAAATGTGATCCCCCCGAAGTGATAAGTCACAGATAACCACGCACTGAAAAAGGGAACTAGGGATTGAGCACAGGATGGAACCTCCACACAAGCTCATTGTTTAGCCCAGAAATGGGTTTACTCTATTTATGGAGGGTTAATTATATGCCATGGTCTGACAGTTCTCTAATGACTTTGCAATGGCAAGAATGTGCTGACTGACTGCAAAGAAATAACCTGGAGTCACAGTGCTGGTAACGTGATTTGTTCTTCATGTAGAAAATCAAACCCAAACATATTTGGAAAACTGGGCAGGCTTTGTCCAATGTTTTACACCATCTTGTCCAATGCTCTTCCCATGTAGACACCAGTAGCATTTTGAGAAGTTACCAGTAGAACAGCACCAGGTTTCTAACCTTGTGCCAGGAGCTGTGAGCTGTGATCCACTGGCTTGGATAACTTCTCCATTGCCCAGAGAAGCTGTGGCTGCCCCATCCCTGGAAGTGTTCAAGGCCACAATGGATGGGGCTTGTGGGAGGTGGAACAGATAGGCTTTAAGGTTCCTTCCAACCCAAACCATTCCATGATTCTCTGGTGGTAACACAGGCTCACAGAAACCAACCCAAGGGCCCAGGGAAGACCCTGCAGGAAGTGGGGCTGTATGTGATGGAGGGATAGGAAGGATGAGAAGAAGGCTAATGACACACACTCATTAACAACCTGGGTCTCAAGTACAGAGATCCCTATTAAGTGTGCAGGTGACACAAGGTGGGAGAAGTGAGTGCTTTGGAGGTTAATACTGGCATTAAGAAAGTTCTTGCCAAATTGGTGGAAATGGGTGTAGGTCAACGTGGGCAAGATCTCAACTACACTCAGGCATTATCAGCTGTACATTACTAGCTATAAATAGTCAATTATCCCTGATTAGGTGTCTGCTCCACAGAACAGGATCTGGGGATTTGGAGGGTCATAAACTGAAGAGAGATAAACAATTCCACCCACTAGCCCAGGTTGCTCCAAGCCCTGTCCAACCTGGCCTTGGACACTTCCAGGGATCCAGGGGCAGCCACAGCTTCTCTGGGCAACCTGTGCCAGTGCCTCCCCACCCTCCCAGGGAAGAATTTCTTCCTAATATCTAATCTGAACCTACTCCTTTTCAGTTTGAACCCGTTCCCCCTTGTCCTATCTGTCCATGTAAAAAACTCACTCCCTCTTTTTTATAAGCCGCTTCAAGCACTTTATGGTCTCTTAGTCCCAGCCCAATGGTCTGGGAGAGGGTGTGAAAATCCTAATTGATTACATTTCTGCACAGGTCTGTCCTTGTTTCCTCGCTGGTACTCTTTGGGCTCCCTTGGCTGTGCCCTGGCAAAGCCCCCTGGCAGAGCCTTTGACACCAGGCTGTGTCTGCCTGGTAGGAGCTGTGCCGAGGTGGGTATGGGGCTCTTCTCCCAGGAACCAGCAGTAGGACAACAGGGCACAGCCTTGAGCTGCACCAGGGGAGGTTTAGGTTGGACATCGGGAAGAAGTTCTTTACAGAGAGAGTGATCAGACACTGGAAGGGGCTGCCCAGGGAGGTGGTGGAGTCACGGTCCCTGGAGGTGTTTAAGGACAGGCTGGATGTGGCATCAGTGCCACGGGCTGGGTGACAGGGTGGGGTCACGGGTGGGACCCGCTGATCTCGGAGATCTTTTCCAGCCTGGTTCATTCTGTGATTCTGTGGCACTGTTTATGTCTCTGCAGTGTACGAGCCCCTAACAGCCCAGCAGCTCCCGCTGGGCTCACAGACCCCTGACCGGCGGTGACTCTGCTCACAGCAGCGCTGTTCGACACACACCGAGCGAGCATCCCTGCACTGCTCCGCCCTGAGGGGCCGGGCCGAATGGAGCTTCCCCGCCCCTGAGGGGCCGGGCCTGACCGAACGGAGCTTCCCCGCCCCGCTCCGCCCTGAGGGGCCGGGCCAGGCCGGGCCGGGCGGGGCGGTCGCGCTGAGCTCATCGGCCCGCGCCGGGGCGGCGGAGCCGCGTCCTCAGCCGGGGTGAGTGGGGCCGGGGCGGCGGGAGCGCCCGGGCATGTGGGGGCACCTCTGGGGGCACCTCTGGGGGCACCTCCGGGCACCCCTGTGGGCTCAGGTGCTGGTTGTGCCCCGCAGGGCCGGGCTGCGGCTGCGGAGCGGCGGGAGCGGAGCCATGAGGCTGCAGGCGCCGCAGTTCCAGGCGCTCTTCACGCCCGGGCTGCGCAGCGTGGCCGGTGAGTGCGGGGGGACCGCGGGGTTCGCGGGGTCCCTGCGGGTGTTTCTGAGCGAGGAGATGGGTCGTGAAATGCTCTGGGTTGGGAGGGACCTAAAGCCCATCCAGTGCCACGCTCTGCCGTGGGCAGGGACACCTTCCACCAGCCCAGGTTGCTCCAAGCCCCATCCAACCTGGCCTTGGACACTTCCAGGGATGGAGCAGCCACAGCTTCTCTGGGATCCTGTGCCAGGGCCTCCCCACCCTCACAGGGAAGGATTTCTTCCTAATATCTAATTTAATTGCCCCTCTCTTAGTTTGAAGCCATCCCCCCTGCCCTTATAATTACTTGCCCTAATAATAATACTTGTATTATTTGCAGTAATACTCCTTTAGTTGCTGACTGCACTCCTTGGATATCAAAGGGAGTCCATGTAGAGACAATATATATTTATTCAGTGGGTTAACTCTGTTTATACATGTTTATTGCCCCAGGGATGGGGCAGCCTGTACCAGGGCCTCACTACCCTCACCAGCAAGAATTCCTTCCCAATATCCAGTCTAAATCTTACCTTCAGCTTAAGGTCATTGTCCCTTGTCCTGTCACCCCATCCCCCATAAAAAGTCCCCCCCCACCTTTTTGTAAGCCCATTTAGGCACTGGAAAGGTCTAAGGTCTCCCAGAGCCTTCTCTTCCCTAGGCTGGACACCCCCAGCTCTCCCAGCCTGTCTCAAGGGATGAGGCAGAGCTCGGTTTCCCCTTTGTGGGCTGTGATTCCATGATTCTACGTTGTTCCTGGAGAAGTTTAGTTCACAGTTCACTCTCTCTGCCATGAGTAAACCAAGCACTGTTCCCTTGTCAGCCCTTAAAATGATCCACACCCCCCAGTATCAATTAGCAACCTGCCAATATTTAGGTCAGAAATGCTCCAGAAAAAAAATTAAATCAAATGACAGGAAAAATACCTGTGGGTGCTCAGCTGTGCCCCTGATTAGTGCATTTTGCACGAAGCTGTGAGGTACTTGCTGCTTCCTGCACATTGGAGTGTGTATTCCCACATGTGTGATCCTGATCTGGGAGAAGGCAGGTTAGGGCTGACACTGTGCTCTGGGTTTATGTGAGACGGTGCTTTATGGTTTTCCTTTCCTTCCCAGAGCTGTTTGAGAAGAAGAACTACGAGCTGAGGATAGCAGGGGGAGCCGTGAGGGATTTGCTCAGTGGGGTGACACCACAGGACATCGACTTTGCCACGACAGCCACCCCGGCAGAGATGAAGGAGATGTTCACCTCAGCTGGAGTCCGTCTGATCAACAACAAAGGAGAGAAACATGGAACCATCACTGCCAGGGTTGGTTTGGGGTTTGACTGGGATCTTTTCTAAGCATCTGAATGTCTGTGGATGTGCCCCATGTCCAGTAGAAAGCTGTTAGTGTGCTCTTTCTTTGTTAAAGCCTCACAGAGGGGTTTAAATGAGACCCTCTTCTAAAGCATGGAGTGATTTTTTTGCTTCTTCACTGTAGAATTCAAATAATCACCATATTTTAATGCATGCAACCCATTCATGCTGCTGTGTCATCACTAGAAAAGATGATGTAGACCACCCACATGTCCAGATAATGTGGGCAAGTTGATCCTGTTTCCCGCTCCCGATTTCCCAGGTCATGTTTCCTCTGCCTTGCTCTGCAGGAATATTTCTGCAGGCCCTTTAGAAAATAAATAATGCAAGGATTGCCTTCAGGGGTTCATATTTCTCAGTTGCCTGCTCTGTAGGAAAACGTGGCACACGTTGCTTTGTCCACTCGCTGCCTACAAACAGGAGGCTGAAAAAAATAACCCAGGTTTTTAGGTTTTTCCCTGCCTGGCTGTGTTGAAGTAACCATGTCTGTGGGATTTGCAGCTCCATGAACAGAATTTTGAAATTACCACTCTTCGAATAGATGTTGTCACCGATGGACGACACGCCGAGGTGGAGTTCACCACTGACTGGCACAAGGATGCTGAGAGGAGGGATCTCACCGTCAATTCCATGTTTTTAGGTACGTTCTTTTGAAAAGCAAATATTTAGCTTTCCTGTTGTATACAGTAGGGAGTATTCTAAATATTTATATTTATAAATATCTGTAATATTTCAAAATAAGCCAGTGAATTCTGTCTGTTTCAATTTTGTTTGATTCTCCTGTGCAAATATGTGAGGTGACCTGACAAACCAGCTCAACTCACACAACTTCCCTTCTATATTTTCAAATTATAGTGTTTAATTATGTCAACCACATTCTTGAATTCATACTTTTCTGGGTTTTTTTCTTCTTTTTCTAGGTTTGGATGGGACACTGTATGATTTTTTTAATGGCTACGAAGACTTGAAAAGCAGGAAAATCAGATTTGTAGGGAAGGCAAGTGAGAGAATACAAGAAGATTATTTACGAATCCTCAGATATTTCAGGTAAGAGGTTTTGCCTTTCCCAGATGAAGAAATGAACTGTAGAAGGTTTCAGAAACATGCAAAAAGAGATCACTGATGTAAAAAGAGTTGTAGTTGTCATATTTCCTTTCCAACCTAAATGATTTTGTGATTGTAAGTGCAATAGTTGTTCCTAATCTAACATCCAGGGGGTGTATTTGGCAGATTTTATGGAAGAATTGCAGAGAAAGCTGGAGATCATGAACCTGCCACACTGCAAGCAATTAAAGAAAATGCCAAAGGTTTGGCTGGAATATCAGGAGAAAGGATTTGGGTGGAACTGAAAAAAATCCTTCTTGGAAACCATGTAAATCATTTGGTTCAACTTATGTATGAGCTGGACATTGCCCAGTACATAGGTAAGGTGAAAATTGATTTCTTACTCCTATATCATAGACAAACAGGACTTGCAGTGTGGCAAACCGAGATAAAACTTGGTTTCACTCAGAAAAAAATTAGATTTGATTTTTTTCCTTGTGTTAACATCCACATTTCTTATTAATGCTTTTTTGCATTTCTTTGTGTATCCCTTTAGGGCTCCCACTTGATGGGAATTTAGAGGAGTTTGCCAGAGTCACTAAAAATATTCAGAATCTGTCTCCAAAACCCATGACTGTCCTGACATCCCTGTTCAAGGGGAAGGATGATGTCACCAACCTTGACCTGAGGCTGAAAATCTCCAAAGAAGAAAAGAACCTGGGCCTTTTCTTAGTGAAGCACCGCCAGGAACTGAGCAAGGCCACGGGGCCAGAACCACTGAGGCCATACCAGGACTTTTTGATGGATGTAAGTGTTTCCTATGGTTTTTTATTTGGTCTTCCCAGGAAACTGAATTTCCAGTTGTACAGAGCAGCAGAGATGACAAGGCCTAGTGGAAAGAAAGAGCCTAAAAGAGCTGAGAGCCATTTCATAGCAGGCTGCTCTCTTGGGCTTAACCAGTGTTTTTAAAGGCCATGATATTTTCATCACAAGGATGCCATGCACTGATAAAAATTACAAGCCAGCTTTGGATTGCTGCTTCTGTAATATTGTCACAGAAAATGGAGGAGTAGCTTTTGTGTTATAAATATTATTGACACCAGTTCCAGTTAAATCAGGTGGGGTTGGGTGGTTTGTTTTTCAAACAAGGCCAGGTTGGGTGGGACTTGGAGCAACCTGGGCTAGTGGAAGAGATCCCTGCTCATGCAACCAGATGATCTTTAAGGTCCCTTCCAAGCCAAACCATTCTGTGATTCTATTATTCTTTTTTTTTTCCCCCCTTGTTTTTCCTCTGGACAGAGAACCAGAAATCAAGAGCTATTGCAAATGTCCTGGCATGTCTCTGGCACATAAAGCAGAAACTTTGGTATAAAAAGATTCTCTTCCTTTGGTAGAGTTTAGTTCTGCAAAAGGATGAACAGCAGACATTTCTGCTTGGCTTCAAAAGCTTTTTTTCTTTTCCGTCCAAGATACCAAGGCTTTAAATTCATTTTTAAGAAATTTATAACAAACAAGCAAACCCACCATATTTGTAGCAGTTGAAAGCCTTTCAGTCAGGCTGAAAAATGTTAGCACTGAGTTTTAACACTTGTGAGGCAGGAGAGATCCTAGTTTCCCTGGATCCAACTCGTCCAGATCCGGCCTGATAAGGTGTGGTGGGAGTAGCACAGTTGGAGCTGTTTTCTGCTGATTCCCAGTGAATCCTTTCTTTTTCCCTGTTCTCTCCTAGTCTAGGGAAGCCAACACAAATTCCAAGATCTTCGAGCTCCTGAAGTACCAAGGAGAAGAGCAGCTTTTAAAGGAGATGCAGGACTGGACTGTTCCCACTTTCCCTGTCAGTGGCCATGACTTACGGAAGATGGGAGTGACTTCTGGGAAGGAAATTGGAACAGCCCTGCAGCAGCTGAGGGATGAGTGGAAAAAGAGTGGATACCACATGGATAAAGAGGAACTGCTGAGCTGCCTGAAGAGGGTGTAAAATGAATAACAACAGAACTGTTTGTGCCCTGATCCAACTTGGAATATCTTGTCCCTCACAGCCAGTAGAGCTTCTGTGACATTTAACACCTTCAGTTACTAATCCATCATTTCTGCAAGGAGAGGTTTAATTGTGTAATAATGTAAGACATTATTTGCCAAGTTCCACATTTTCTACCTCTCTCTGTTGTATTTAGTGATAAATATTTGCTGCTTTATCATGACTTTGAGGCACTAGAGGTGACAGCAAGGTTTTTCTCATTCTGACTTTGCTATATCTAAAAAAAACCCCCACAAATCTTCAAAAAAAGTGTTTCTATCCTCTAGATAAAATCAGGGAGGGTTTTTTGTGCCTAAGAGATTGACAGTGTCTGGAAATAGTGAGCTGTAATTTAACTCTTTGTAGTTAAAGCTGGATACCAGATGGAAACACTCCAGCAGTTCCCAAACAGTCTTACCATGGAAAACCAGTCTGTTTCCTAGAAATATTTTTATTTTCCAGAATTCCAGAATCAGTTCTAGATTAAAAGGATGACTGGGCTGAGTCAGTATCGTGGACTTCTTGTCTCTTCAGTAGCTTTTCAGTAACTTACCACTGAGTAATTAAATCCAGGGAGAGCTGGTGGAGGGTTCTACAGCGTGTGAAACAAACTATTAATGTTAATTAGCATTAATTGGGTGGAGATCCAGGGTCCTTGCCTTGGGAAGTTGGGTTTTTGGAGCACTGCTGTCTCCATGAATGTGTCTTTACTATCCCTGGCTTTTTTGGTGTACTGTTAAAAACAAAAAATAACTCTCATTGAGAGCAGCTCTTGTGTGTATAAACTTTATTGCAGGTTGAAGTTTTCCTACAAAACCATGGTAACTAATAAAATCCTTTGGATTTCATTTTCCTTGGATATCATTTTGCAACACTAGATGGCAATACTGGAGCAGTGCTAAAAGAAATCAGCAGTTTCTGGTTTTCATACAACTTCCCAGCTGCCTTTTCTTTTCCTAGGAAGTCGGTTCCTGTAAATAAATTATTCTGAAGGTACTTGGGAGCCTGAGGAAGAAGCAAGGGAAGAGAAAAAGTGCTGTTTGTTAATAAGGCAAATCTCACGAGAACATGATGGTGCTTAATTTAATGATGTAATTAAATGGAAGCCTCCTTTGTGCAATTTATTGAGCTCCTGAAATCTTGGGAGGGAGACGAGTGATAAAATGTAGTGCTGTGGTGGATTCCTTTAAAGAACTTAAACCTGCAGCTTTAGGGCAATGGCTGGGGAGGTGATAAAATGAATTAATTAAAATTAACACATTAACCTTACCCAAAATTGCTGTCGGGGTCAAACTGCACTTGGAAAGAGGGTTTTTAAGGACAAAAGCTTAAAACTGAGTCTTGTCATGGACCAAATGGACACTTTGGACAAAGTTCAGCCACAAGGTTTAATTTCCAGCTGGTTCTCAGCCCTCAGAGGGGCTGGGTGTGCCTGGATCCACTCCTAGGCCCAGCTTTAGTCAGTGCTTTATGTCTAAAGGATTGTAGAGGTGTCACTGAACCTTTAGACAGCTTTGTCCTTCAGGATTAAGAGTGACAAACAACATATTAACAGAAAGGGATGATTTATTTAAATGGATGCTGATAAAGATTAGACTGAAAAAGCTTTAACCAGAACTTTTTACTGCACAGCACACACAGTTACAACTCCTCGTGAGTGCACTGGTAATTAAATCAATCCTTTCAAAGCCAGCTTAATTACCATTAGTAGAGAGTGATGTTACTCACCCAAAAACTGTGGGCAGGTCCTTTCCCCATCCCTGTGGATGCCAGCCTTGGTCTGGAAGCATCTGACTCACACTGCCTTGTGCTGGGTTTAATTTGAGATGTTTTGGCCAAGCTGGTCTCAGCTTCTCCCCTCCCTCCATCCATCACTGGTGACTTCCAGTAAGGCCAAGTCTGAGCTGGTTTATTCCCAGCTTGGCAGAGGGTCCTGCTGCAAATCTCCAGTGCTCATGAAAAGCAGCACAACCAGATGAGTCTGAAAGCACCTTCCTTACCAGTCCTGCTTGGAATTCTCGTGTTCAAACAGCTCCTTGAAAAACCATCTTGTGCTTCAGGGTTCCCCTCGGACTGTGGAGCATCTCTGTTCGTTATCTTCCACAGGAATTAACCCCTGCTAAAATGAAAGGGCATGAAAACAAAATAATCACATTTTTAAAGCAAGCAGTGCCAGCTTGAGCCCTGAAAAAATGATGTGTTTGTTTGTTTGAGTAAACACTTTATATTTTACAGAGTATGGACTATTTAAATGTCAAAAGAGATGAAGCAGTTTGATACACACGTGGTCAAGGTAAAATACTTCTCTACAATGGATTAGTTGACTAATTAGTCTGTGCCAGTTGAGCCTGCACAGACTTTGAAGCCAAAATTCTTTCATTCCACGACTTTTGCAGCCAACCTGTTTAAAACACAACATAAACCCAAGCATCGCCTTTTTCCCATCCCAGCAATCAGCAAAAGAACAGGTGAGTTTTGAAACAAATTGAATTTTATTCTTTGCAAATGTTTGCAAGCAACAAGATCTGTCAGAAAAGTTGTCCCAAAAGGCAGAGAGAGGAAGAGTTAGAGAGGAGACAGGGCTGCCCCTCACCAGCCTCACAGAGCAATTCAAGGTGACAGTGGGAGGAACAAATGAACTGCAGCACGTACAAAAAGAGCATTATTATAAAACAAAGAGCATTTGAACATGTCTCAGACCCAGTGTGCAAACGGCCTATGTGGTTCTACCTGTTAATCAAAATATATGAAAACTGCAATATTACAGGCTCTGATTGTGAGGGTGCAAAGATGGCTTGGGAATGAGTCTGTGCTCCATGTGCTGAGATCCATCAGCCCTGCTGCCTGCAGGACACTCCTCCTGTCCCAAAGGGTGCACATCCCACCCCCCTCCCCTTCCCAGACAAACATCAGCTCTTCCACAGACCTATTCCCACATCTCAGGGCAGAGGAGGATGGTGGCAGAGGAGAAAAATGATCCCCTGGGCAGCAGCCACTGGATTAATTCCTGCAGGAAGCTACAACCAAGGAATGGGGTAAATGTAGCAAATTATCATAAAATGTCATTTCCTTTGCCTTAGCTCTCAAAAGCAGACCATGGCCATACCTGTAACAATTTTCCATAATCCCAACCTAAGAGTTTTCTCTTCAAAACAGAGAAAAGCACAGAAAACATGTCCCAAGGTACAGAACCATCCCCAAGCCCCCACCCACCCTGGAAGCCACGTCCTGTACACCCTGCTCACTCACTGTACTGGAGTCATGGCAGGATTCCTCAGCAACCCACAGCACACTTGTTTTCAACCTGGAAAGTGTCCTGGACTTCCACATGGCAAACATCACACAGGTCAGGCAGATGGAACAGCATCATCAACAAGGAAATTAAATTACTGCCAATTTTACTCCTGACTTACCTTGATTATATTAGTTTACATTTGATTATACACACACAATCCCAAAAATATGCCTATTTTGGATTCAAACAGTACCAACATAACAACATTTTTAGTTGAGACAATCCAAAAGACTCAGCCAAAAACTCAAAGCCCTTATGAAGTTCAGTGACAGCTGAGAAAATCCTTTTGAAAACCCCCTTCACCATCCCCTCAGTGAATATTCCAGTGGCAGCAGAGGAAAACACTCTCAAACCTCCTGCCACCACCAAGCCCCCCTGAGGGTCATGGGAACAACAGACAGGAGGGATTTTGAGGGGAAAAATAAACCAAGGTGTGTTTGTGTGTGCAGGGTGGGAGGGGTTCCAGTGCTTATCCAAGTGCAGAGGATCCAGAGCCTCCCTCTCACACCAGTGCTTGGCATTCCAGCCTTTCCAAAGCTTATTACAGAAACATAATCAAAATACAGGATGTTTTCTCCCAGAAAATGAGCCATCATTCACCCTCTATTTGTGCAGAGCTGTATCCCAAGCACTGCTTTTCACAGTTCACTGCTCCACAGAGCACTGCACACGGAATTAAACATGGAATTAAGGGTGTCTGAGGAGAACAAGGGAGAGCACAGAAGCACAGAGGTAGAAAGCTTCAGAGAACTAAACCTGAGTTACACAATCATCAGTTCCTACATACCTGACATGACAAACACCTCAGCAGCCTCTCAGGGTCACACCTGGGCATTCCCAGCTGCAGGGACCACATTCCACAGGAATCAGCTCCTTGTGGGACAAGCTCGGACCTGGCCCTCAGCTGAAGTGCTCTGGCCTTGCTACATCTGGTGCCTGACAGAGAACAAGCAACTAACAGCTCGTGTCTTAAACCTGAAGTAGTTTTGTGTCATTGTATTTAGCAAGTGAAGAAATAAAGAGTGAATGGTAAAGCTTCACGAGAAAAACAAGTGAGTATGTGCACAAACACAGGGAGAAATCTCCAGCTTCCATCACCAAAGTGAATTCTGAGGGAAAACCACCCCAATAAACCAGTGGCAAAAGCTGCCTCAGTTTGGCAGATAACGCTTCAGACAAAACACCCCCACCAAAACTAAAACAACAACCTACCAAAAAACAACCTCCCTCAAAACACTCTGCCTTCATCTGTTTTATTTAGAAATTTTTCCTCTTTGTAAGGTGATAACGTGGAATTTTACTTTATGATCTGTAAGTGCAAAAGAAAAAATAATTAAAGAGATGTTGCCTCCCCCTCGTCACGATAAATAGTCCTAAAAAATCCCCTCAGTGGCGTGTTTTAGAGAGTCCTTCCCAGAATTCTGGATACCTCTGCTGGTAAACCTTTCCAGTAACAATTTTGACAAGTAACTGAAGCACATTCAACAGCAAATGACAATGTTGTTTCTGCCCTGGGACTGACCTGTGTATTTTTTATAAACAATTTAAAATTTAAGACTTCTAAAGTCAAAGAGACTAAATAGATCAGACAACCGGTAAGGAACAAACACTTCCCATGGGTTCCATCCCGTGAGGCAGCAGCAGCTCCTGCTTTTGCCCATTCCAGCACTGCCACCATCACTTAGATCAGTCAGAAATACTTCAGCCTTGTTCTCTCTTCCGTGGTTATTCAGCAAATATCTGAGAAACAGCACAAGCAGAAAACCTGAAGTACTTCAGAGTCAGAAACAGGGATTCTCAGCAAAACCACTGGTAAGTGTATTATGGGAAATACTCTGCAGCAAGTAACTGGTATCTACCATCCCGGGGATATTGCATAAATCAGGCTCTGGTTATCTGGGATTTAGTTCCTGCCCATCTTCCTTCACTGCAAGTGGGAATTATACAGGGAGAAAGTTCAGTCTCAAATCTGGCCACGTGGATCAGAGATTTCTTGGTGTCTCCTGTTTCTGTCCAGATGGACCATCCTTTGTTAGTGTCTCAAGCCATCTCCTCTCCTCAGCTCTCCCTTTAAGGACTCAGCCTTCAGTCCCAGCGTTCCCAAAGGAACAGAACACGGATGCACAGCACTCCCAAACGCGGTGACCCTGCCTGTTCCCTTGGATTGGTGAGTGTGGTTGGGGGTTCTGGGGGTTCTCAGGTCTAAGGAAGCATCAGAAGCAGAACTGAGCAGATGCATCTGCAGGAGCCCTGGCCAAGCCCCTCCAGGAGGTGACAGGTCACAGGCAGAGGATCGGGGAGCCCTCGTGGTCGGAGTCTTCCTCCCCCTCTGGAATGCGGGGCAGGAGAGCGGAGCGTGTCAGCCCCCAGAACTTCTGAGGGGACATTTCCTTCTTGGTGGCTGTGAACTTCCAGCCCATGTGGCTCCCACAGATCCTGCACTGGGCTATAGTCCAGGCATACCTAAAACACAAACCAAAAGGTTTCATTTTGATGGAAGGAAAAGGCCCTTTAAAAAAACTTCACCGGCTAAGAAGTCCCAAGCTGGATTTG